CCTCTAAGCCCCTTATACTTTAGAAAATGGAAATGCTATTTTATGGATTCAGAGAAAGGAAGTGTTGTCTGTCAAATGAAGGGGTTGGGCAGATGACCTCCAAGGTCCCTCCTGGCTCTAAATCTAGGGTCCTACAAGGTTCTGGTCCTAGTGTTGGAAAGGGGCAGACCCCTGGGAATTCTCCGGGTCTCCAGCTGAGGCCAGCTGCTTTGTAGCAGACCCAGACAGGGAGGAGGATGGGAGATGGATTTGACTTTGTTCATGGCCTGATCCATCCTCTAAGCAAACAGGTCTTCGAGGCCTTCCTCATGTTACAGATGAGGAAACCGAGGCCACTCAGAAGTGAAGTGTCTGAGCCACAGGCTGGATTTGGACCCAGGTTCAGTGGTTCTCCATGCTTCCATTCATTCATCTATTAGTTCATCAAGTAGTTATTAATTAAACCTCTGAACTGGAGTTAAAGGACTCCTCTGTAATGGGGGGGCAGGAAATGGATTTTGGGCTGAGGGAGTTTTGCATCTGAATGAACCCTGGGGTCCCCTTCCATGCATTGTGTGCTTTTGCTATATTTGAATTCGTATCAGAGCTCTCTTTGTCTCTGGCAGTCTTGTACTATAGTAAAGGCATTGGATTTGGAGACTGAGGACCTGGACCTAGGAGACCTTGGCAAATCACTTTTCTTCTCTGAGACTCAGTTTCCTCGCCTGTAAAATGAGGATATACAGCCAACCAGATCTATTTCATTCAACAAGCATTTATTAAGTGCTTAACCCCGGGGCTCTGAGAATTTGGGTCAGTTTTGTTTTGTTTTGTTCTTGATCCAACCTCTAATTTCATTAGTCTAGACAGCTCTGAGTGAGGAGTCTCCCTGATGTAGGTGGGCAGTTAGGTGGGGCTGGTCACACAACCACGAAGTGGCTTGACCTCTTAGGGTCTGAGGAATAGTAGATTTAAATCTGGAAGGCATTTCAGACGCCACTGAGTCCACCTCCAACCCTCATTTTACAGAGGAAGGCCAGAGAAATTAAGTGACTAGCCTGGAGGGTCCCATAGCCAGTTTAGAGGGAGGATTTGAACCCTTCCCTGGCCAATTCTCCTGCTTTCAAGGAGCTTGATTTCCGTTCCCTAGCCTCTAAATCTGTGATTTGTATGATCGCAGGGCCATGGAGTCAGGAAGACTTTTCTTTGTGATTCAAATCTGGTCTCACTTACTAGCTATGTGACCCTGGCCAAGTCACTTCACCCTGTTTGCCTCAGTTTCCTCATCTGTAAAATGAGCCAGAGAAGGAAATAACAAACCCTTCCAGTATCTCTGCCAAGAAAATCCCAAATAGGGTCACAAAAAATCCGACTTGACTGAAACTACTCAACAATACTGAGCCGACACCGCCCTAGGGTCCTGGGTGCGAGTCAGTCAATAATCAGTCAATCATTCAGCATTTAGGGAGCCAGCGCTGGGGGTTCAGAGAGAGGCGAAGCCAGCGCCTGCCCTCCAGGACCTCGCCATCCCTCGGACTCCGGCCTGGCACCAGAGCAGCCTCTCAACCCCTCCCCGGCCCCGCCCTTCCCCAGCTCCGCCCTAGTGCGGACCTGAGAATTTGCAGACGGTGCCTGCCGGGCCGCCAACGCCGCCGCCGGCGGCTCCCGGGACTCCTCCCCTCTGCCGGGCCGGGCGGGGCCGGGGCGGAGCCGCCAGGGCTCGTGCGCGCGCGCACGCTCCCGTCCGCCCCTCCGCGGCCCCGCAGCCCCAACAGTCCCGCCGTCCGCGCGCCCGCCCGCCAGCCCGTAGACCCCGCGGCCCCGCGGCCCGCCCGCCCCTCGGCCGGGTTCATGCCGGGAGTCCCGAGCCGGAGCCGCCGCCGCCGCCGCCGCCGGGAGGAGGAGGAGGAGGAGGAGGAGGAGGAGGAGGAGGAGGAGGAGGAGGAGGGAGAGGAGGAAGAGGAGGACGACGAGGAAGGCGAGGGCGGGCACGGCCGGGGCTCCGGGCAGCCCCTGCGGGCGCCGCAGGTCAGTCCGCCGCCGCCCGCAGCCAGGGAGGGTCCTCCTCCCGGCCTGCCCCATTAGCGGGGTCCCGCTCCCCGGCCCCGTCCTAAGAGGCTCCTCCTCGGTCCCATTCTGGGGGTCCCCCTCCCCGACTCTGATCCTGGCTTTGTTATGAGTCCCCATTCTGGGGGAGTCCCCTCCCCTGCTCTTGGATGGCCCTGAGCCCCTGCCCTCTTCCTGTCCTCGAGGTCTCCCCTTTTCTTTTGAGGGTGCCCTGCCCCTCCATCCCTATTACCCGGGGTCCCCTGCTCTCCATCCGTGCTCCTGGAGGTCCCCGCCCCCGACCCGACCACATTACAAGGGTCCCCTCCCCAGCCCTGCTCCTGAGGCAGTCCTGTGCCCCTCCCTGCCCCTGTTACCTGGGGTCCCCTTCTAGCTCGACCTTGTCCCCCACAACCTCCTCCCATTCCTCCTTGAAGTCGCCGAGCCCCTCCCTGCCGCTATTGCTGGGGGTCCATCCGCCTCTCCAGCCTTGCTCCAAGGGAGTCCCCTCCCTGACCCTATTATGGGGGTCCCCTCCCTCTCCCCAGCCTTGCTCCGGGGGGTGCCTAGCCCCTTCCCCATGTCTTGGTTTCATTCCCGGAATCTCATCGCCCTCCCTGGGCTCCTGGACCCTTCCCAGGCCGCTTTCCGCCGTCATTGTCAGCTGCCTCCTCCTGTCTGTCTGTCTGTCTGTCTGGGGCCAAGCTGCCGCCGGGCCCTTTGGCGATCGGGACCCTTGGGAGTGGGCCAGCCCATCTGTGGCCTCCATGCTCACACCAGCCTCATGCCCAGAACCTCCCTCTGTCTGGGATTCAGGGGGCATTGGGGTCTCCCTCTCCCTGCCCTCCCCCCTGTGCTGAGGGGCTGGGCTTGGGATGATCAAGGCAGTTCTGTGCTTTGACGCTATTCCCACCCTGGGATGGGACCTGGTCCCTCCGGGTGGGGACTGGTCTTTGGTGCTCCGCGCTTTGTCCATCCCGGTTTATGGGGGTGGGGAATAGGCCAGGAGAAAGTGGCAGTCGGGCTATTGATTGAAGCAGTGAAAGTCAGAGGATTTTAGGAAGCTTGCAGGAGGTAGTGAGAGGTAGGCCTGGTCCTAGGGATGAAAAATGTATCTTGGGCGGGGGATGGGGAGCCCAGGAAGGAGGCCAGCGTTTTTGTGTAGTTGTTTTTTATAATAATCTGGCCTTAATTGGCTGAGGAAACTCCACGGTGGAGAGCCAGGGCTAGGTGGGGCTCACTCATCTAGAATATGTTTACATTTATTTGGTCAAGTGGTTCTGAATCTGTAGCTTTCCAGTGCTGGCCTTGGTAGATTGAGGAAAAGGGCAGTGGATGACAGAAGACCGCCTTGTTCTGGCTCTGCTTTCCTCCCTTCTCTTTCGGAAGGGCACAAGAAGAGAGCATTCAGGGCTCTGTCCAAACAAAATGTTGCCCTTGAAACCAGACATCTCCGAGAGCCGGAGATACAGATGCCGAATTTCTGGCTAGCTGTGGGTCGCAGTGTAGGATGGAGCTTCCTCATAGATTCTGTGTGAGATGCTTCAGAACCCCACCCCCCACCTCACCCCCATCGTCAATGTGCTGTCTCTGTTTCTTATTTCCAAATCTGAATTGCATAGAACGAAGGAATGATTCTCTTCCATCCGTTACCTTTTGGGGTTTGTCTTTTTGCTCGATTTTGCCTTGTTTTTAGGAGCACTTTCCCTGTTACTATAACTCATGTTAACTATCATATTTGCAAGAGATTCTCTTGTTAACTCCCGTCTATTGACCCATATCCTCCTTGGGCTGGATTCTGATTTCAGGGCTGGTGTTTCTGATGTTTTTCGTTTCTCATGTGGCAGTACTGTGTATCTCAGCCACAAACCAGGCCGCCTCCCCTTCCTCCCCCTCCCTGCCCAAAGTGATGGGCTGCCGGGCCACCACTTTGGTGACTACATCATGTGTAGATGTAATGCTCTACAACCCAATGTTATTGGTACAGATGTAGCCCTAGGAGAGAACTGTTGGAAGGGATGCACTAGAACTTCATTCTCTAAGGAGAATTTTAGTTAGTTTCTAGCTGAAGAGCTCTTTCCTCCACCTTGGAGCTTGGCATAGAGAGGCACAACTACTTGCCTGTTTCTCACTGCTCCACTTCTTGACCCTGTTTTGTTGTCAAACATTGTACATAGGGCCCTCTTTTTCTTTCCTAGTTCCCTGTCTTCCTTCAACCTCCCTAAAAAAGTCAATCAATAACTGAAAGAATGGTCTAAGACATGCCACCCTTTGGGGAGTGCCCCCCAAAGTCATTTGGGTTCCTGATGGTGATCATTTGACCCTCCAGCCCAGTCTCCGTATTTGACTGCCTCACCAGACTGTTCTGGGTTAGTTGAACTCAGGCTCCTAATGGTTCCCCCACATCCCCCGAGACATTGTTATTTTGCAAGTGATTCCTACTACACCCCATATGTTGTTTCATGGTGGGTAGAAGAAACACCAGACACAGCTCCCACCTCACAGAAAGGTTTGCCTTTTTTTTTTCTAGCTGAGTGGTTCTTAATTTTCCCTTATGATGTGTGTCCTGGCCTTGAGGAGAGATCAACTTAAATCCTGTTTGGGGAATAATCATTCCAAATTCAAGAGCATGATTTTTCTGGTGGCTCAGTTGAGAGACCGGAGCCCCAGCCCAGAGAGAGAGCCTGGCTGACATGGCTAGCTTTGGCTACTTTGCTTTCAAGCAGCCACCACAACCCCCCTCTGGGAAGGTTCTGAGTCATCATTCCATCCCTAGTCCTGGCACTGGGAAGGCTCCTGGATTTTGTTCCTGTCGCACAAAGGGAGCTGGGGTGGGGACTGGTGCAGATGGTTGGCGAGGCCCTATTAGGCAGAATCCGATGGCTGGGAGAGGGAGGGCAGGGAGGAGAGAGTCCTGTGGGAGAGAGGACAAAGGTTTACCAGACCCTCTTGTGGTCTTTCTTGCTTTGTTACAGATAAATAGGGAGACTGAGTGAGGGGAGGACGGGATGAAGCTCACCACTTCTAAAGTGCCCTTTATCTGTCCATCACACTGGTCCCTGCTGCCAATCTTTCTCATAACAAGCCGGAGAGGTAGGTTGCAAGTAGAGAGAGTGGGGAGGGAAGGAAGGGGCACAAGGTTTGAGTGGAATCTGTCAATATCACGGCAGAAGGAAGAGAGCTTTTCTACAGGTCATAGATGCCCACAGGGGAAGACTGACCCATATTGGTGCCAGGAAACAGAAAAGAATAAATGGGAAAAAAGTTGGTGGCAGAAGCGTCTAACTCACCAAACAGATCTGAAGAGATTTCTGGGGGCTAATCATGGGAATGAGCTCATGCCTTGAGCCTGGTGTGTCATGGGGACTCCATCAGTCCCCCGGGGGTAGATCCTGTTCCCAGAGAAGGGAGAGAGGGGAGGAACCAAGATGCTGCATCAGTCTCGTGGATATAATGAAGGGTAGGCCTTCTGGAGAACCCAGGCAGTCAGATGGGGCCCCTCAAATATGGACCTTAGATGAGCGGTACGTTCATCTCTCTGTTGCTGGGTGGGAGAGGGTGCTTGCCAAAGACAGGAAAGTGATGTGACTGGGAAGGAGAGAGTGACAAGAGACTGAAGAAAGACTAGACCTCTGTCTAGTTTGAGCCTGAGTCTGTCCTGGTAGTGAGCTGATCTTCCTGTGATCTGGCCAGGGCACCAGGACAACCTGGAAGTAGAGGGACAAGGGAGGTGGGGTGTGTATGTGCGTGTGTGTGCATGTGCGTGTGTTACTTGTAAGGCTTCATGATGTATTAGAACATTTAGGGACCTGAGAAGTCATCATCTTACAGATGAGGAAACTAAGTCATGCTTCATTGATGTCAGGGAGTTGGAGTGGTGGAATTCTCAGCAAAATATGTCTCTCTATGGTGCAGTGGGCTAAGGAGGTCAGCTATCAGTGTTCATGAAAAATCCTTATTAATACTAGAAATAGACCCCAGAGTGGCCTGAGAATAGCCTTCCCTTCCACTTCACTCCTTTTGGGTAGTGGGGCTTTGTTCCACAATGCCTCTCTTCCCTGAGGTCCTTCCCTAGCAAGATGGAGGTTTCTAGACATGTGGGCCATAGAATGCAAACAGTTAAAAAAAGCCTCTGGGTTGGAAGAGAATCATATGTCCCGAGGCTTTAGCTGGATTTTTAGGAGGGAGGCCTCGGTCTGGCGTTGTGAATAGCAGCTATACATTCATTGTCATCGTCTTTGTAATAACCGTATAGTTGATACTTGTCTGGCCCCTTAAGGTGTGTGAAGGATAGCTGCTGCTGTTTGTGTTGTCCTTCCTACCTGACCTCACTGGCCCTCCTAAGAGCCCTGTGGGGTAGGTACGGGATGTAGGTGTTATTGGATTCCTTTTACAGATAAGGAAACTGAGGCTCAGAGATGAAGTGACTTGTCCTTGCTGAGCTTGGGGCTTGTCAGATGGCAGTCCGGGTGATCCTGGGCGGGGCACTTTTATGACTGAGGGAACGGCAAAGTGTCCTTCAGAAAAATGAGCATTTTAATTTTTCCGACTTCCTGTCTCTTCTGTCAAGGTGGCTCAGATGAAGGGAAAAAAAACTGTGCAGTGATTGGGCAGCGGGGGTCGAAGCAAGGAGGAATGAGTTCGAATCTGACATCAGATGCATATTTACCTGTGTGACCCTCTGCCTGCCTCTGCTTCCTAGTCTGTAAAATGAAAGTATAATAACACTTCCCTCCCAGGAGTGTTGTGAGGGTCAGATGTGAGGGTCAGAGGGTCAAATCGATGCATAAAGTGCTTTGCAAGCCTTAGAATGATGTAGAAATGTTAGCTATAGGTAGATGATATGTACATTCTATGTGTATGTATGCATCTGTAACTAGCGCACTTGAGGTAGGGGTGGGGGGCAGTACATGTGTTTATGCGTCCAGGGTGTGTGCTGTTAAAAATCTATTAGAAATTAAGTGCAAACAAAGATTTTTTGATTCACACACATAAAGATACATGGATGGATGGATGGATGCATGTTTGTATGTATGTATGAAGGTTTACATGTATATATGCATGATAAGAAGAGACAAGAGTAGATAGCTGACCTTGGGGCCAAGTTAACCTGGGTTCAAATCTTGCCTCCAACACATTCTGGATGTGTGACTCTGAGCGAGTCACTGGACATCTGGCTGCTTTAAAAATACTCTAAGCCCATAAGGTATAGAGAAGGTGCTAACCTGTATTGGTGGCAGGAGTTTCCTCATCCATCTCACACACATACATTATAAGTATATAGATGGAGAGACAGAGAGATGGTGGAAGAGAGGGGAAAAAGATGGAGGGGGGAAGAGAGACAGAGAGAGAGAGAGAGACAGAGGAAGTCAAGGGGAGAGCTGAGGCCTAGGACCATATTCTTTTTGTAGACTTGGGCCTCTGCACTTAGTTTCTGAATGAAAAAAAGGAAGGCTGTTGCAACCCAGCAAGGATTTTCCCACAAGGCCTTCCCCTTTGTTTCTGATACGTAAGGGTGGTTTGCGGGTCTGTAGGCCATAGTAGTCAGGTGGTAAGCATAGAGACATCCTTCAGCCTGGTCCCAGCAGAGACCTTTCCGAGGCTGTGTTGTCCTGGCCCGTAAGCAGAAGTCCTCATACTCCGGCAGTTGACTCGTTGGCCGTAGGGAAGGATTGAATACTGGGGTGGAGGGCAGGGATTGGACAGGGAAGGAAAGCGTTCGCATGGATTTTTTCCGGTGACGTGTGTCAGTTGGAAGATGGTTGACTCACTTTACTGAGAGCCCACAGAACGGTTTTTAAACGTCTGTCTTGAGTTCCCATTTCCCTCATTTTTTGATCGTCTTGATTTCTTGCTATTTTGTTTGAATTTTTTTTAAAAAGTACGTCCTCCCCATCTTCCCTCTAGCCCAGACTGTTGCCTTGCATATTAAATAATGACTTGGCTGCATCCTGATGGGTCGCCTTCTGCTGGCACCCTTTGCTCTTGCCATGGCCTTAGGTGGCATTTCCATCCCTACGGCTAGTCTTGTTTCTTAGAGCTCGGGAAGCCAGCGCTGGGCCGTGTCTTCACATTCCTTTGAGTTGCCCGGCTTCTGGAGGGGTTCTTTTCTCTCATCCTCCCATCTCCTTCTTCCCAACAAATCTTCCCTAGCTGTCCCTTTAGACAAAGTCAGCTACTGAGCAGGTCAGTTGGAAGAGTCTCGTCTGCTGCTATGCATGGCTGTATCCAGGTTTGACATTTTGGACTGAAATGCCACAATGGCCACCTGGGCTTGAGGCTGACTGTTAAAGACCAAGGCTTAACTCTGAAATAAAACCTTCCTTACACACCGGGTGTTGGCTTCCCCCGTTAAAGTCCATTTCTTAGAAAACCTCATGATTCCTCCCTCCTCCAAGATGCTGACCATTGGCTGGAGAACCCGGCAGGGCAGAAAACAGCTTTGCCGTAGGGCAGAGCCGAGGTGTTGTGCCTGTGCCTGGGTGGCTTGAGGCTCAGCCTTCTGCACCTGGGTCTTTGACTGGTGGGTTGTCCTGCTAGGAGCAGTCACAGGGTCACTCTTTATGCAGACTGTGCTCTGCTTTTGTCATCCTGGAGAAGAGAAATACTCTTTTCCGTTCTCCATTGAAATAGCCCTTGGAGCTTCGAGGTCGAGTCTGACGGCCCTTCTCACAGAGGGAGAGGTGTCTTTGGTCTGTGGGTGCTTTTCTCAGGAGAGCTCTGCAGGCTGAGCTGGCGGTCGGGGCCACTGGGGCAAACAAGACTGATTTCTGGTCATCCCAATCTAAGCAGGCCTTACAGTGCAGGGCCCTTGCATGAAGCACCATCAGGCTCAGCCCTGTCAATAACCCGGTGCTGCTCTTTGGACATGGTGGACGTGGTGTCATGAGCAGGAGGCAGAGTGTGGATTTCATCGCTTGAGGGGGGAGTGGAGAAACAAACCCTTACTTAGCAGTGATTTTCAAGGCTAACGGCTGAAAATAAACACCAGAGCAAGGGAGCCGATGAGGACCTTGGTGTAAGATAATGAAAGAGCAGCTGGCCGGTATGTCTTGTTTTTGTCCAGTGTCGGGCACTGGACGGATGGCTGGGTTTTTGCTCTGTGTCTTTGCTCTGGCTGGCGATGAGCAGGACACCTCACTATGGGGACCTTCTTACAACCATGAAAGGATTTATTAGTCCTGGCTTTGTGGTCATTGTTTTCTACGGGTCTGTTATTAGACAGTCACCTCTCTGAGGCCTCTAGGAGGCGCCACAGCACACGGAGCGCTGGGCCTAGAGTCAGACCGGAATTCATATCGAGCCTCAGACACGTAATAACAGGGTGACTGTAGGCAAATCATTTCAGCTCTCTGGGCCTTCAGTTTCCTCCTCTGTCAAATGGGGCCAATAATAGCACCTACCTGCCGGGGTTGTGGTGAGGAACAAATGAACTAACATTTACTTACTTTGCAAATCTTAAAGCTCTGTATAAGTGATTCAGTTCTTACTTTGGGGCTGAATGGTTTGTAGGCTGTTGGCTCTAAAGTCTTTGAGACAGTGCTAGGCAGTGGAAACAGCACTGGTTCTGGGATCGGAATCCCATCTCTTACATTCCGTATCTTTGTGACCTTTCACCTCCCCGGGCCTCAGTCTCCTCCCCTGTAAAATGAGATGGTTGGTCTCAGTGACCTAGCTCTGGCTCTGGAGCCCCGAGGGCCTGGGCTCAAATCTTATCGCTGAGATTTCTTGCCTAGGTGCTCTTGGACAAGCCACTTAACTTCCTTGGGCCTCTGTCTCCTCAGTCTAAAATGAGGGCTTTGGACCAATGACTCCTGAGCTCTCCTCTAGCTCTGCTCCTGTGATCGTGGGTAGAGAGAAGTGTTGGTGCTTTCCAGTGGATCAGAAACATGTGACTGGGCCAGTTGTGCCCCATAGGACAGCTCATTTCAAGCCCTCTCCATCTTCCCCCATGGATACATGGTCAATCTCTGTGCATAAACAGTTCTCAGAAGAATTGTAAACCACCGACAGCCATAGGGAAGAAAAGGCTGCTGAGCGTCACTGATAATCAGAGATATTCAAATCAAAATAACTTTGAGGTTTCACTTCCC